TTACAACTCTTCTCCTTCTTTCCCTTTTGTTTAAAGGTATACATCTGTTCAGTGTAAATGTAAATGTGCCCCAATAATTGGCAGCGTGGGCACCTCTTCATCTGCAGATAGCCTCAAGTGAGCTGTAGGCCCGGCATTTCTGTGCCTGGCAGACACTGGTGCCTCCCCTGCTCTGGGTCCTGGTCTCACCGACACGGCTGTAGTCCCCTGAGACCAGGTGGGCAAGGATGTTTAGGGAGGGTTCAAGAAGGGGACCATGCCCCCGTTGCAGTTCACTCCCACCAAGCTGCACATGGAAGTTTCACAGTTTTGCCCTGGGATTGGCTGCAGGAACTCCATGGAGGCTTTACCCCCCACTTTGAAAAACCAAGCTTTTCGTAATCCCGTGGAGGAAACCAGACAGACCACAGACTCCATGCTCAGGAAGCGAGCCCCGAGGCTGGCTGCTCAGATACTTGCCCCCCTTGCCAGTGTTGTTCCCCATATGGAGCCCTGGCCTCCTGGCCGCCTTGGCCTTTACCCACACGCTCCTGATGTTTGGAAGTGATGATTAGACAGGATTCGTAAAGGCTGCCCGTGGCTTCCTGTGGCTCGTTCCCCACAGACACTTAACACAGATGGTCACCGTCTCCCAGGAACTCTGGAGACAGAAAAACCTTTAGCCTGCTTTAGAAGTCTACAGAAATTCATTAAGACGTGTGGCCTTTCCCGTTTTGGTGGGCATTCTCTGTTCACTTCCTTGATTGGCCCTGACAGCCATCAGCTGGCCTAGTTTTGCAGGTGTGCGCTTTCTGAGTCTCAAGGATTCGGGAGGGAGGCACCATCTTTGACCGGAGGAGGGATCTGGGGAGAAAGGAGGGCCTCTGTCCTCTGCCCAGGGCTCTCTAGTCAGGGAGTAATTGTTGGGGAACCCCAGGCCTGTCCCAGCCAGGAGAGCCTAGGCTGAGGAAGAAGGTGACTGAGATGCACGTGAAAGCGAGTGTATTCTTAGGTCGGTGACTTGGTTCACCTAAATGGATTAATAAAGTTTCTCAGCTTTCATTTCCAATAAGGTAAATATTGACAGGTATAACTCACATAAACAAAAGCTCTTTGGGACTCTCAGTTGCAATTAAAATTGGATATAAAATATCCAAGTTAAACGCTGTTAAAAGAGAAGTGGCAAGGTGTTTAACATCCCTTATAACCACAGATGTGTGCATTAAGACAATAAGGTATCATGTTTTACCTCTAAGACCGACAAAGATAGAAAAGCATGATCCTGTCACAGTGAGGGTTTGGAGAAGTAAACCTTCTCATGCATTGCTGGGGGATGGGGTGGGCGTAAAGTGCTGCAGGGTTTTTTTGAGTGCAGTTTGGTAATACCTCTGAAATTGAATATGTATGCCTGTCTTTTGTAATTGCATTTTTTAAAAACTCCAAAATGGCCTTGTATTAAATAGCAAAGCAGAATTGCAATATAGTTTTAAGATATGTGTAACTTAGGTCACAAAAGCGATGTAAAATGTTTGCAGTATGACTGTTAAATCTTCATACAGCTAAAGCCAATTATTGACTTTTTTTATACCAATACAAACATAAAATCATTTTGTGATGAATAGTAGTCCAAATTGAATCACTTTGTTGGTAAATATCTTTCTTCCCATTACATTTTCCCATTGCTTTGGATCTGAGGCCCGGGATTGGGGAGGATTGGAAATGCGCCTCGGGCATTCTTCTCCTCTTGTCCTCCTTGTCCCCCACAATTTCATATTCACAAGTATATCTTAAAGAAGCATCCACACAAGTGGATAACAGCACTTGTACATGGATGCGTATTGCAGGATTTTTTTTTTATAATAGTGATAGAATACTGTACAGTTGTTGAAAAGAATATGGTAACTATATATGTATATAGAAAGATGTTCACAGTGTAAAGTTACAAAACAGTATTTACCTGACTTTGTGTATGTGGTAACAGTAGAGAAGAAACCATATGGGTGTGCATAGTGCCTTGAGGAATATATGCTAAACTACTACAAGTGGATATCTGAAGAACCACAGTTTCAAAGTGTGGTCTGGGGACCCCAGGGGCCCCCGAGATTCTTTCAGAGGGTCCATAATTATATGATGGTGATATTGACAAATGTGACTTTTTGGTTATTGTGTAAGAAAATGTACCAACATTTGGAAGATCCTGCATAATTTATTGAATCCATTTTCCACCTTTTTCATATGACTAACGCTTGATATTAAAAGATCCATTCAAAGTGCAAGACTGATGGGTTTTAATGTAATAGAGTGTGAACATTTCATTGGTATAGTTCCAAATTCCACACTAAACAACAATCAACTAAAGGGCAGTAGCAAAGAGGAATATCCACGATTGTCTGAAAAGGCTATTGAAATACTCCTTCCTTTCCCAGTTATACAGCTGTGTGAGGCCAGATTTTCTTCGTTTACTTCAACCAAAACAGCACGTCACAAAGGACCAAATGCAGAACCAGATAAGCCAGACATGTAAAAAGATTTATGAAAATATTATTTGTGTTAACATGTAATGGGCTTATTATTATTATTATTATTATTATTATTATTATTATTATTGAGACAGAACCTCACTCTGTTGCCCAGGCTGGAGTGCAATGGCAAGATCTTGGCTCACTGTAGCCTCTGCCTCCTAGGCTCAGGTGATCCTCCCACCTCAGCCTCCCGAGTAGCTGGGACCACAGGCAAATGCCTCCATACCCAGCTGATTTTTGTATTTTTTTGTGGAGATAGAGTTTTACCATGTTGTCCAGGCTGGTCTTGAACTCCTGGGGTCAAGTGCTCCACCTGTCTTGGCCTCCCAAAGTGCTGGAATTACAGGTGTAAGCCACCACGCCTGACTGGTTTATTATTTTTAGTGGATTAATACATATTTTAAATTTTCTCAGTTTTAATTTCTAGTAATGTAAATATTCATAGGTATAACCCACATAAACCAAAGCTCTTTGGGACCTTCAGTAATTTTTAAGAGTGTTTGGAGACCAAAACATTTGAGGTCTGCTGTTTTATAACAGGGAATTAAGGAGAACTGGTTCATATGATTATGAACCATTTGAATTTTTAATACAATTAGAATACAATTAGAGTGTTTATTTTTACAATCAGAAAAAAAAAAAAAAAAGAATGTACAAAGACATTTCTTAAAGAAAATGATCAATTGCTTTTCTTCATCTGTTCCCAGGACAGAACAAGCGGAAATGGGCTTAGTTTGTACAAATGTTAGTTTAGGTTAGAGATAAACAAGAATGTCCTTCTGAGAATTGTTAAATTGCAGAACTGGCTCCGTGTCAATGTGGATGCCCTCACTTGTAAGTTAGCAGAAAATCCAGCCCAAACCGCTTTACCTGGTAGAGGAGTTTCCTGAAAAGTGTAGAGGTGGGATGTGCTTTGGGTTTAATGGGGCTTAATCTGGAGGCACAGTCATGCAATCTGGTTTATCTTCTGTCTCTGAATCCTGATGGCTCTTTAGAGTCTAGTCCTCAGCTTGGCAGGTCTGAAATATTAACAGGGGATGAAGCTGACCAAATGACACGAGTGTGTTTCTGCCCATTGGGAGGAGAAGGCTACATAGGAGACCACGTCGTCAGAAGCTGTTTAGTGAGCACAGAGCTGGAACTCACCAGGAAGCTGAGAGTCCTTCAGGGTGTTTCTGTCAAGCTTGGGTAGCTGAGCTCATAGGCCGTCTCCAACTGCATCAACACTGATGAAGTCTCTCTTTGGCTTTTTCTAAGCAGTATGAAGGGCAGCATCCTTCAGTCAACACATCCTTTATCAGAAATCAGGTTATAATCGATTAGATCTCTGCTTTCTTCAATTACAGCCCAGGCCTGTGGATATAAACTAGACATTGTGATTAGATTTGGGGCATTTACCAAGTCTTTAAAATAAATTTGTGAGCCATCTGTATATGCTTACTCATTCATTGTGTTTCTAAAAGATAACTGTGAAAGTTTTCTCATTGTTAATACATTTTCATAATAGAAAACTTAGAAAATTCAGAAAAGCCAGAAATAAAAATTGCCTGTGATCCAAGCAGCCTGCTATACCACTGCTGAGTCTGGGGCCTCTCTCTTCATCTTCCCTGCATAGGCAGTGCAGGGTGATGGTCAAAGCACCCGTTTCAGAGTCCTGCAGACCTGGTGTCACTCTGCCACTGACTAGACGGTCTTAGGCAAAGGCCTTTGTCATCTCTTTTCTTTTCCTTTCTTTTCTTTTCTTTTCTTTTGAGATAGGGTCTTGCTCTGTTGCCCAGATTGGAATGCAGTGGTGCGATCACAGCTCACTGCAGCCTCAACTTCCTGGACTCAAGTGATCCTCCCACCTCAGCCTCCCAAGTAGCTGGGACCACAGGCACGTACCACCACGCCCAGCCAAATTTTAAAATATTTTTGTAGAAATGAGGGTCTTGTCATCTTGCCCAGGCTGGCCTGGAACTCCTGGGCTGAAGCAGATCCTCCTGCCTCAGGCTCCCAGAGTGATGGAGTTACAGGCGTGAGCCTATAATCTGCACCTGCCGGTTTTTTGGTTTCTAAAAAAACTTAACATTTTTCATGATGTTTTGGTTTAAATCGACACAAATTTCCTTTGAAAGGTTCCTCTCATCTTTTAAGCCTTGTTTCCTAGTGGTCATGTTTCTATTGTCCTTTCTTTAAGTTAGGAAGAACTCTCCCATGCAGCCTCCAGAGACATTCAGAGGCTTTCAGTGACCTAACACCCAGCTGGGAGCCACCGCCCTGTCTGAAGTGTATTTGTATGTGGAGCCTACTGTTTTGAAAATTCCAAGTGAAAGGAAGCAGTTTCAAGGGTGGTTTGGGCTTGTTTGGTCCCATTGTTGGGAATGCTGTGGCTTGCGGGGCCACCTGCGTGTGTTGCGGGAGGGGTGGAGGGGAGCTCTGGGCATGGGAGAAGAGGAGTGAATGATCAGGAAGGAAGCAGGAAGCCTGCACAGAGAGCGGAAGGACCTGCACTCGCAGTTTACAGCCATGGAAGCTGCTGATTGTTCTTGAATTTAAAGTAGAGAATAAAGGACCACAAATTGCAGGGTTTGAGCATTCCGTGTTTTTCTTAAATGAGCCTGTCTGCATTTTCAAAACGTGTGCTTTCAAAAGAGAGCTGTATTTTCTGAATCCAGCTGTGAATGTGGAGACTAGCCGTCCTCCCACGACATGCGGGAACGCACCATTAGATGCAGGCTGCTTCTGTTCCGAGGGTGGCTTGCGAGGTGGCTCCCCAGCCACTCCTTTTTCTGGAAGGGTGAGAGGTTCTTGTTCATGGTGACTTAACCATGTCTTACAATCAAGTCCTTTTGGATGGTCACTCTCTCCCCTTCCTGCAACCAAGACCCACATGCCTTCGGCGTAGAGAGATTGACCGCCAGGTCTGCTCTCTGAAGAGCGCTCCTGGAGGAAACTTGTTTGGGTGTCTTTGGCCCTCGATGTGGTGGGAGGCACGCGAGGACTCAGTAGTCTGGTGCTTCCCACGGGGACACCTGGTGGTGTGCAGGGCCCTCGGTGGCTGCCCGTTCAGCCTGCACCTCTGTGACTGCCTGAGAGATGCAGCCGGAGGTCTGTGGGTGCCAGCACCACCCCACTGCCAGGCCACTTCTGCAGCTACGTGTTCTCTGGGAGGGTGTCGGAGATCTCTGCAGCCAGGCGTTGTCACTGATTCACCAAATATCTGCCTGTCTGCTCTGTAAGTTTCTGGGCTGGGTACTGAGAGATCCAAAAGGGAAATGGTGTTTGCCTTCATGGAGCTTGTCCCGTGTCAGGAGAGAGAAGACCCGTGTGCACACTGATCACAGAAAGAGGAGTAAATGCCCTAAGACAGATGGAGAGGGCGAGGGGAAGGGGTGAACGAACTGGCTGAACCAATCACAGTCTGAAGAGTGGAGGGAACCAGGTACAGGGCGGGTGGTTGAGGAGCATTGACAGATGCAGTGGGGATGGGGGTGTAGTGGGGGACAGTCTGGGCTGTGCAGGTTGGGAGTCAAGGGCATAAGCCTGAAGAACAGTCAGACCAGATGGTGGAGTGCTGGCTACGGATCTTCCGCCTCCCTCTAGAAAACGTAAGTGTTGCTGTGTAAACCGCCACAGCTGAGGAAGAGGGGCCCGGGCTAGGAAGTCTTGGTTTACTGTGCAGCGACTTACCTCATGTCCTCCGAGCTGATTTAGAGGATTTCTGGTAAATCAGGAAGTTTAGTCTGGTGCCTGAAGGCAGTGGCATTGAGAGGCTGGGACGTGTGTAGGCGTGTGTGTGTGCGTGCATATGTATGTGTGTGCGTCTAATCCTTGTTAAATCCGTCTGAACTTTTGCCATGTGTTGGGTTGGGTAATAGGTGTGTGTGGGGCTGCGCTGTATTCCTAGGCGGGTCAGAATTCCTTTCTAGGCCAGTGTTCCACCTGATGACAAGGCAGCTTTGTGAGTCATCTGGGTGCTACAGTGCAGAAGTGTCCAGGGAGAGATCCTCTTTGCTTTCGACTCCTTGCCGGGTGCGTCACCTCGGTGGGCCTGGGACTAGCTTGGAAATGGCACTGTCAGAAGAAAAGCCTGGAGCCAGGTGTCTGGCTGGAATGGAGTCATGGGGGAGTCAGAGCCTTTGAAACCTAGAAGGGTTCAAGCTCCTGTGTTTACCTGGGCCGACCTCAAACCATCCTAGGAAGGAGAAAATCAGACCTGCTTTGATACCAGGGTGCCTACTGCTACTTAGGTGTTTTTCAGTGATTCATTCCTGGGGTGAGAAACTGAGTCTTGGATTTACCCACTCTGCTGGTGTCAGAGGGGCTCAGCAGGGAAGTAGGTCTAGGATTCCAGATGAACTTCTTCCATGATTTTTGAGCACGTACTGATGTGACCCCCAAGAGGACGTGGCTTTCTTGATTAAAGTTAATATTTCTTTTATTAAATCCTAGAAAAGATAGGGACGTCAGAGCTGGCCGAGTCAGACTCCTGGGGCATGTTGATGGTATCCAGATGCAATTCTGCAGAGGAATCCTGGAAAACAGGAGCAAGTCTAGAGGAAAGGCCGCGGGTGGTTAGTGGGCAGGAGGTCATAATGAAAATAGTGGAAGAGCCTGAGATATTTAGCTTGGAGAGAAGAAGACAGGGTTGGGTTTTGTTTTAGGGCATAGGGGTGGTGGAAAGTAAATGACCTTCAGATTAAAGGGTAGTTAGGAAAGAGTGAAACTAGATCTGTTTGGATGCCCAGCCATCACACCCAGCATCAGGCGCTCTGTGGGGCCTCCAGGCTGGGAGGCTTTGACTTTGTATAAAATAATCGTATTGGTTTGGAGAGGAGCGCACTGGTTTGGAAGGTCCTCCTTTTGGGGTTTGAGGT